AAGAACCAATGTATAGTAAAAGGGTTAGAACATCTACTTCGTTTAGTATTGATTTTCTAACTTATATGGTAGAAAACGATCTAAAGACATTCAATGAAGCAATGTCTACACTGAAAGCACTACATTAAAAAGAAGCTATCAATAGTAAGATAGATTCTATAATACAAATTCATACTTGGGAGTTGATTGATTTACCATCCGAAAATAAGCCGTTAGGGTGTAAATGGATTTTCAAGAAAAAATTAAAATCACGACTGGGTCCATTGATAAATATAAGACTAGACTGACTGGTTACTAAAAGATATAAGCAAAAAAGAAATTGACTTCTTTAACCCTTACTTACTTGTGACTAAAATCACTTCAATAAGGTTTTTAATTGCAATTGTTGCATTACATACCCTTGATATTCATCAAATGAACATGAAAATGACATTTCTGAATGGTTAGTTACAATAGGAAATTTACAAGGAGTAGCTGAAGGATTCATTGTTCCTAATAAAAAATTAAATGTTTGTAAACTCGTTAAGCCTCTATATGGATTGAAACAAGCTCCTAAACATTAATATCAAAAATTTGACAAAACAATGTTGTCCAATGGATTTAAAATTAACGAGTGTGACAAGTGTGTATGCATAAAACATACACCAAAACCTATGTAATTGTATGTCTATATATAGATGACATATTGATTATAGGCAATAATCACGAAATAATCATATAAACTAAGAAAATGTTAACGAAACATTTTCACATGAAAGACATGGGTATGGTTGATGTGATATTTATGGATTAAGATCTCTAAAACATTTGAAGGAATAGTACTTTCTCAATCTCATTATGTTGACAGTGTACTTAAGAGATTTAATATATTTAAGGAAAGTCATGCGAAAATCCCTATAGACTTAAATCTACACTTAGTCTATAATATGGGTGAACCTGTGTCACAACTAAAGTATTTACAAGTTATAGGCGACTATGTTGTACCTTACAAACTGCAATCGATTGGATATAGTATTTGCTGTAAATAAACTTAGTCAGTTCACAAATAATCCAAGTTATGACCATTAGAGGGCTTTAACTTATGTTCTTAGGTATTTAAAACATACATTAACATTTGGATTAAAATTCACAAAATATTTTACGATATTGGAATGATATTGTGATGCAAATTGAATATCCGACATGAAGGATTTCAAATCTACTAGTGGTTATGGGCTGTAGTGTCATGGAAGTCTACAAAGCAAACTTGTATAGCTCGATCAACGATGAAATCGAAGTTTATTGCTTTAGATAAAGCTGATGATAAAGCAGAATGGCTTCGTAACTTTTGGAAGATATTCCATGTTGGCTTAAGCCGAAGCCTGCATTAAGTATACATTATGAAAGTCAATTGACTATTAGAAGGGCACAAAATAGCATGTATAATAGTAAGTCTAGACATATAAATCGTACACAATACCATTAAGAAACTGATTTCAAATGGTATTATCTCCATAGATTTGTGAAATATAAGGAGAGTATTGCAGATCCAATTATGAAAAACATACCAAGAGATCATATATGTTGTCTATCGAAAGGAATGAAATTAAAGTCTACTACGTAAGTGTCTTTGTAATGGTAACCCTACCTTATTGATCGAAGATCCCGAGATCTTGGTTCAAGGGGATAACTAAGTTATAAAGATTCAATGAATCACTTAGAAAATTATTTCTACTCATTCCTATGATATAGAAAGTGCTTTCTACAAAATGTTAAAATATGTTTTTAATAATTCCTATATCTTGATTAAGTCAAGTGGAGTAGGATAAAATATTCTTAATAGGAGGTCACAAATATAAATATGAAGTGGGGTCACTTCGATGAAAATTGCTTAAGGCTAAAATCCTCTAAAAACACTTATGAAATTCAAGGGTGTTTCAGGGCTAAAACCAAAATGAACATACTCGTGAGAACTAGAATGGTTTAGGGAATATATTTGTATGAAAACTGTTGTCTTGATTTATACCAAAGGCTCAATGGTTTAAGACGTTCACCAAGTAGCCAAGTAAATCTAATAGTATTTCACTAAAGAAGATTCAAGGTTGGAAGCTACATTTCCTGATGCAATATTTTTTTGCTTTCTCTATACAAGCATTTCCATATAATTTACATATTTGAAATTTTCACTTATGTGGGGGATTGTTGGAATTTGATTTTAAAATGGATGAAATTGGTAAAGTATAAAACCATGAAAAATGTGAAAAGTGACTTTTGTGTCAATTTTGGCCAAATATTCGGACTTAATCCGATAGTCAAATTATGAAAATAAATAAATTAAATTGTTCTACTTGTCGAATAGATAATCGTGATATATTTAGAATCTCAAAAAGATTTCTGGATGAATGTAAAATTGTGGTTTAAGGTTGGAGGAAATAATTCGATTTTTAGCACTTGTAACTGTCTGTTGAGTGACAACTCGGTGCCAGGCGAGCAATAGCCTTTCTACTTTTGGCGTTTGAGCAGTGCACGGCAGCAGGCGATTGACAGTAAAAGGCTACGACTTTTAGTAATGATTGTTGAGTTTTAGGCATGTCTTTCCATCCACAACTCCACGACCTCTACATACTGGACCATTTAGACGTCATTTAAGCACCCAAATCATATTCTTAAGTCTTGCATCAAAATTCTTGTCAAATCATTACAAAACGTTGCTTTCAAAATCATTCTTTGTAGAGAGAAAAATCCTTTTAGGTTCGTGGTTGCCTTGTAGAAGTGCTTCTACTACAAGGAAGTAATTTGTTGTATCTTGGGAGACAATTACCGTTACTCAGTTAACACCGTTCGGGGCAAATTTGTTTTAAGGAAAGAATGTTATCACTTGTTTCGGATCCTTTCATCATTTCTTCTTCTTCTTCTTCATTTCTTCTTCTTCTTCTTCTTCATTTCTACTTTTGGTTTATATCAAGTTGGTACTTTGTTTAACTTCGTTCATGCGTTGTTAAACTTATCTTTTTTTTTTTTTTTATCCACATACAAAATAGCATTATACCATATCCCCCAACAAATACCATATAATAGATGAATGATCTAATAAGTACCAGTGCTCATTTTATACTAAGCATTGATGATGTGTCATATCAATCTAATGATGGATAATTGTATGGTGTGTCTCGACATTTGAATTTAATTTGTTATCCATCAATGGATTGATAGACACATTGCCGTTGTTTAGTATAAGATGAGTATATAAGTATCGATGCTTGTTAGTTCATTCCCATCAAAACTGAATAAATCTTCTGTTTGAGCCCCATTATATAAAAACACATTTTCTTCTAAATCATTTTCAACCACACTTCTTCTAATAAAATAATTTTATACGTAAATCTAAATTTTTTTCCTACTTTTTTAATAATGCATTCTCCAAAAAATAACTATTAAAAGTTTTATTCTTCCAAAAAATGGATCTAAAACACAATATTAGTTTGGGTAAAAATAATGAGCATAGAGCCTAAAAACTATGCCCCTATTTGACAAACATTAAAATGAGTTTTTTTTTTTTTTTTTGAAATGTGTGGTTAAAAAGTAAGAAAATAGTTTTGTTTGATTTAATGGATGTCAAATATGGGCAATATAATTATTGTTTGTGAAAAGCTTGTTATGTCGGATAACAGTTGTTTATGAGGCATTTCTTTCGCTAAACAATTAGCCCATGTTTGATCTTTTTATTTAAAAACTTATTTTTTTCCAAACTCATTTTTAACTGCGAATTCTCTAAATAAAATAATTTTACACGTAAACTTAATTTCTCTAGTTTTTAAAATTTTAAAAAATCACTATTACAAAATCTATTTTATCAAAAATGAGACTCAAACAAACCCTTATTATTCTCGTGATTCAAAGTGTTGGTATCATGAAAATGATCATTGTATTTTCAATAATGATAGTTAAAAAAAAAAAAACTATGGGCAAACTCTTGTTTTGAAAAATACGAACTATCTATGCATCATGTGTAAGTTATAAATAATTTGTTCTCATTTTGGCATTTGTTTACCAAATTTATAAATGGTTTAAAAGAGGAATAGTAATAAAAATAATAATGAGTTTCACAATGTGTGGTTAATATATGAATAATAGTTATGGATGTGTGATTTAAATTGATATTTGACGTTGACAAAATTTATGAACAATTTATAAATTATTATCCAACGAAATTCATTTATTATTGTTTAGCACTTGTTTGGGTTTCATTATAATGTCTTTATAATTTGAAGTCAAATATTAATTTTAACCATAATATCTTAATTACTATTTATTTATTATCCACACATTTTTCGTGAGACTCTTTCCTTTTCTCGTTCATATTTTTATTTTATTTACTGTTTTCCCAATGTTATGCCAAGTCTTAATTATCAATGTAATAAGTTGGCATCTATGAAGGCGCTTAATATTTTGAGACAAGTAAGACGATATTAAATAGTTTCTTTCAATTGTCTTATAAACAAAATTGTCTCAATTTTAATGTCTTTCTTCATGCAACATGTAATATTGAAAGAAAAAACCAACAAAATATTGGTATCTAATTACTTTTAGGATTAATTTTACTTTCATGGAAAGTCAAAAATAACCTAAAAATATGCCTTCCAATTAAAGGAAATGGGCTCAAGAGAATAAACAAAAGAAAAATGAGTAAAAGCCATAAACATCTCAAA